AGTCCTTTTACAAGGAGGATCCGGCTGTTGCTCAACGACCCGCCACCGAAGTTGAACGGTTCCGACGCGATCATCAGATTACAATCGCGGGTCGTGATGTTCCAAAGGCAGTTGAAAGTTTCGACGAAGCCGGCTTCCCTGAATATGTTATGAATGAAGTCAAGGCCCAAGGCTTCCCCGCCCCTACCGCCATCCAGTCGCAGGGCTGGCCTATGGCTCTTTCTGGTCGCGATGTCGTTGGTATTGCCGAGACAGGCTCCGGAAAGACGCTTACATACTGCCTTCCCGCAATTGTTCACATCAACGCTCAGCCTTTACTCGCCCCAGGCGATGGCCCCATCGTCCTTGTTCTGGCGCCCACAAGAGAGTTGGCCGTTCAGATCCAACAAGAAATCACCAAATTTGGCAAGTCGTCGCGAATTCGCAACACATGTGTTTATGGAGGTGTCCCCCGTGGTCCTCAAATCCGAGATCTGTCGAAAGGAGTCGAGGTGTGCATCGCTACGCCTGGACGTTTGATCGACATGCTGGAGGGTGGCAAGACCAACCTTCGCCGAGTTACATACCTGGTTCTGGATGAGGCCGATCGTATGCTTGACATGGGTTTTGAACCACAAATTCGAAAGATTATTAGCCAGATTCGGCCCGATCGACAGACACTCATGTGGTCTGCCACCTGGCCAAAGGAGGTTCGAGCTCTAGCTTCTGAATTCCAGACCGACTTCATCCAAGTCAACATTGGCTCAATGGATTTGTCTGCGAACCACCGTATTACTCAGATTGTCGAAGTTGTTTCCGAGGGTGAGAAGCGCGATCGTATGATTAAGCACCTCGAAAAGATTATGGACAACAAGGAAAACAAGTGTCTTCTTTTCGTGGGCACAAAACGTGTTGCCGATGATATAACCAGATTCCTGCGCCAAGATGGCTGGCCTGCGCTTTGTAGGTTCGACCTCATGCCATATGGATGGTTTATGACTAACATGCTTGCAGCGATCCATGGCGATAAGCAACAGAACGAGCGTGACTGGGTTCTGGATCAATTCAAGACCAACAAGAGTCCCATCATGGTCGCCACCGATGTGGCTTCTCGTGGTATTGGTATGATTAATACTCCCCCAACCCTTCCCCTTCCCCACAACTTCCAGCAGAGTTCTATCCGATGTGCTTGACTGTGATGTCTAGGGGCTTTCTTGATTGCGCACATGTGTCTGGCCTAATCGTGTCTCGTGGTTCTCTCCCCCCCGGATGATCGGGATCTATGGTGTGGCCCACGGGCCGTGTCGATGTTTCGCCTTGTACCTGATGTTCTGTGGTACTTGAAGGCGAAGTTGAGCATTTCTTGATTATATCAAGCTATCTCTAAAGATTCCCGAATCCTGAGGACCCGGACCATACTATTGGGATCAATTCCAGATTGGCAATGTTGATGCAACAGACTGCCCCGCAGCTTCATTCTCGACGGAGAAGGCACGGAACAATATGTTTATGGCACCTATATCCGCTGCTGGGACTTGCTTTTATGGCAACCTCGTGTGTTCAAGAGCTAACCTTTTGTGATAAAGATGTGCGTAACATCACTCATGTGATCAACTATGATTATCCAAACAACTCGGAAGACTACATTCATCGTATTGGCCGTACCGGTCGTGCTGGCGCCAAGGGCACCGCCATCACCTTCTTTACTACTGACAGTATGTCTCATCGTCCTCTTCCCACTTCGAGGCTAGACTGACCATATCACCAGACTCAAAGCAGGCTCGTGATCTCGTGGGTGTTCTCCAGGAGGCCAAGCAACAAGTCGACCCAAGATTAGCCGAGATGGCACGCTACGGTGGTGGCGGTGGTGGTGGCCGATATGGCGGTCGTGGATATGGTCGTGGTGGCCACCGTGGTATGTCTTGTCTTTTAGACGCAAGTTACGATAAAAAACTAACCAAGCTGTAGGCGGCGGCGGCGGCGGCGGTGGCAACAGCGGCGGCGGCGCTAATGCCATGCCTCTCGGTAACCGACGCTGGTAATTGAACCTTGCTAAGGGGCGCCAGCATAATCCTAACAAGATGATACCAAGGCAACAGTCACGGCATTGCTTGCGTCATTTTTTCTTTCATTTTTTCAAAAGCACAACTGGCGTTATCTAGAGGATCTGGCTGATTAGACATTGTAATACCGGCTCTCTCTGAGTTGTGCATATCTTCACAGACTGCACGTGTCATTCTTCGATCCGGGAGACATGACTAGGTTCCAAAGCTTACCAAAAAGCACAAGGCTGCCCTAGCCTGAGATGAGACATGGCATTTATTTTGCAGGTTCTCTGAGGATATCGTTGGCACTCTGGCTTAGCCCAGATACAGGGATGCGGCTGCGGAACTTGCTGACCCGTTTCTAGATTGGAACTGCTAAGCCACGTAGTGACTGTTCATAGTCTCATGTTTAGTTAGATTCATTCAGTTGAGTTGCGCTCGTTCTGAGGCAAGTTGAGCTGGCTAGATAGGTAGCATGAATGATTTCTCCGAGCCAGGCAGCACACACCGAAATGCTCGTGAAATGAACTGAACGCAGTTAATGGCCGGCTCAACAAGCATTATGAACGTCACTTGTTATTACAATGGAACATGATATAGGTATGTATACATACAAGTTGCTGCTTTCCACTCTGCCGTGCCCTGTCTGCGGCGGGCGGTCTAGGATAGGAAAGGCTTCGTCAACATGACCCCTTGTGAATGGGCATACAATATATTCGGCCCACCTGGTATTTACCCGGTTCGCGCAACTTACATTCCGCTCAGATTACCTTTCTATACTCAGGTCATATGCCACCACTTAGTTTTCCGGTTGCACACGGCGGCTCGTCAGTTCCTTGCTCCTCGTTGCTTCCTTGTACCCGGAAATTATTCTCCCGTCGCCAGGATGTCGACAGGATATTTTCTAGGTCATGGAAGCCACTCCCGCCCAAATCTCTCCAGTCGACATCTTAAAAAGAACTCTAGTCACGTAGACAATCTACTAGTTTCATACTTTCGTGAAATAAAGAACCCCGTCTAATCGTTGTTTCGATAATATTTCGTCCTTCAAGATGAAAGCTACGGCAACGCTAGCACTCCTTGTTGGAGCCATTCAGGCGGCGCCTCATTGTACGTATACTTAGCAGAGCCCGTCTTCGCACTAGTATTTTCTGGTGTACATTGTCTTCGCCATTCCTTTTTCTCTTTGGTTCCATCATGTTGGGGCCTGGTGTTGATTGAATCTTATCCCCTATTCACGCTTCAGCTTCAAGATGGCAAAAAAAAAAAAAAAAAAAAAAAGGAGGGGGGGGGGGAACCCTTATTATGGAATCCTCCTAGGTAGCCACCATATTGACGAAATCGATCAGATACCTTCCCGAAGCTCGTCGGAACAGCAGATTGGTCATCAGTGCGCCAGGTCAGTCACCCGCTCTCGCCGGTTCCACCATAGGCGCATATCGAGAGAACAAGTTGCTTCGCCTTGGCCTTCCCCCCGGTGTGCTCCTGCAAGCTTCCCACCACCTGTCTTCTATCCTCAGTGCTGGGCACTCATTACTGACTCGCCGTTCACCAATAGACGGCCAATTTCCAGAGCAATGGCCCCGTCACGGACGTGACGAGCGATGCGATTCGATGCTACGAGCGCGCAGGCGGCGCACCGGCCATCACGAAGGTCAATGCAGGCGGTCAGATTACCTGGGGCGTGGCGCCGAGCATCTACCACCCTGGCGCGCTCAGCGCGTACATGGCCAAGGTTCCCAGTGGCCAGACAGCTGCCACTTGGGATGGTAAGGGGGCAGTCTGGTTCAAGGTCTTCCAGGATCAGCCGTCCGCGAATGGCGGGCAATATTCTTGGCCTTCGGACGGTGAGTTGTCACTGCTTATTTCGGGGACTGGTTGCATACTCGAGGGACAGGGGACAAAAAGGGAAGCAGTCTGATACTGACATGAGGCTGTTCACCGCAGGAAAAACCCAGGTCAGCTTTACGATCCCGCAGTGTCTTGCCAACGGTGACTACTTGTTCCGTATCGAACATGTTGCCCTCCATAGGTTAGTCCCGTCCCCTTTCGTGTACTGCGTCTCTCAGTTTCCAAGGAATTCAGAAGCGCTGCCCTTAACCATACAACCCCCTTCTTTTGGTATCCATTGCACAGCCCTCGTTCTGTCGCTTGGGATATGCCCGGATATGCCCGTGTACACACACCCCCTATTCCCCCAATCAACCAACGACACGTTATATCCTGGATATATCTTGCCAGTTCTCTACAGGCAGCTAACAAGTTTGTCACATGTAGCGCGGGATCCGCAAACGGCGCTCAGTTCTACATCTCCTGCGCCCAGATCACCGTCTCGGGAGGTTCGGGTTCCAAGACGCCGTCAAACCTCGTGTCCTTCCCCGGCGCCTACAAGAACACCGATCCCGGGCTGCTCATCAACATTTACAATAACGGCGGCAAGGCCTACCAACCTGCTGGCCCACCTGTATTCACCTGCTGAGCTGTGACGGGGAGGGAACTAGTTGCGTGGGAGGCCGAAGGGTTGGCGCGTGCAGAATCGTCTCGCTGTGCTGAGGTTTGTCGAAGGCTTGATTTGTCTCGTTTCCTACGTAAGACACGTACGCTAGCTCCTGTCGTGTCATTATGTTGCATATGTATGTATGCGTAATGGTCTTCAAATACCAGCCACACGCCCGTTATTCCACGGCTGAAGGTTGGTTCACCGGTATCATGGTCACGGCGCCAATACGCACGATTATGCTGCGATGTGATCGTGGACTCTTTGGGATATGAGCGCAAGACGGTCGTTAGCTAGTGGTAACCTGTTCGGGTCAAGGATACTAACTACCTGTTCACATGTTACATCGTATCACAGATCAGGGGGCCGACAACCTAGCGGTGGTGTCTATGCTAAAATACAGTTGCCTGTCTACAAAACAATAATCAACTAAAATAAAGGTTGACGAAAGAGGTGTCGCAGGAAAGGAAAAAAGATGTCTCTCGATCGGGGAATCGAACCCCGGCCACCTGCGGTCTGTTCTCAGGTTCTCCAGGACCCACTATCGTGAATTCTAGTTCCTTGAATGACAAGCAGGTATCCTCACCACTAGACCAATCGAGATGGACTGATGGAATCTATGGGTGTGTATTCCCATCTAGAGCTGTTTAGTTGATTGTTGAGCGTAGCTCAGATGCAACTCAAATGCCGTAAGATACCATCATTCGTGAAATAGCCCAGTGGTAGGTAGTTAAACCGATAGTCTGTGTAGATAAAATGGTTCTTTGTATTTCTAATCCCGTAAATTCCGTGGATTGGATACTCTAGTTTCCGCAAGACACGGGGTTTACAGCACACTTGTGCTAGTGTGACAACTCATGGCGGGTTTGACACCTTTCGTCTTGAGGAATGAAACCTAATTCGGGCTACGGCCTGCGAAGTCTGGCCAGATATCCTACATGTCGCGCTCGAAATGTATAGCGTTTAAGCACTGAGAGACAAAGGAGTTACGGCAGAAGATTGCAAGCGTTAGCCTATCAACACCGGCATTTATATCTTACTGCGGCGAAGATCCTGACGCGAAGAAAGGGGAAATAAACGTCATTCTTTGCAGATGGGTATCGTCAACAGATGGGGGTCTATTAGAAGGGTAGAACGCCACAGCTTCTGTCACCAGAGTACCTTCCTGTTGTATCAAGACCAATGCCATAGAATTGCGAGTACGGTACGTGTATGCGTCAACGGAACGTGACATGGAGATAGAGGGCGGTCAACAATATCACCCCGATAGATATGTACGAGAGACTCGATTTGTCAGAAGAGTCATCTTAGTAACCTAAACGGAATGCGTGGTGATTTAACGAGGAACTAGATCATGGGGTTAACCTCGATGTGACATGGAACGGGTCGCCTGTAGAGCCTTGAAGGCGGTATGAGAATATCCAATGAACGCGCTGCTCTCTCAGTATCATGATTGAGCTATTAGACGGGAAAATCATCATCGCTTGGCTATCCTGACTCTTCTCGAATTACCATGACTCGGGCTTGTCAAAACTGAGAGCGGAAGCCGCCGAACATGAGTCGCTAACATTGACATGCCACTTTCCTAAGATGGACCGCCAGGGTTCTAGATCCAACTCTATCGCATACCACAGATGTCTTTGATCCGGGCCATATCGAGGGCTCACTCATGAGGCCCGTGACGCCCGTCAAACTGTTATCGTATCGTACACTAAGCCCAGGCTACGTGAGTAACCCCCACCCCCATAGGCAATAGCCGTGGAAAGGTTTGGAATCAGCAGCCTCGTTTTGTCCCGGAGAATACCGATGGGGTTGATGCGACCGAATGAGTACAAAAGCGTGTGAAGTCATTATTATTACGTGGGACGCGGGATGATGTCTGGCTCGTTTCGGGCCTTGGACAAATTCTACAAGTCGAGCGCCTTTTACAAGCACAGCCAATTTGCCTAAGCCATGGAACGACGGAGGACCGGTCGTTCCTCGGTCTTTCAAACGAATAAATGTTTCTACTATAGATTGTTTGGCTGCAAACCTTGTATGATTGCTCTCCATTCAAAATATTTGCTTTGTGGGGGAGAAAAAAAAAACATATACGCCATTTCTCATTCCATCAATCCGGTATTCGCAACTCGGCGTAAATCAGGACCGCACCACTTACTAAATATAGAGAATTATTCCTTTGGGGTCTTGCCATTTGAAAATTCGACCTTGACCTGGTATTGCCGGCGCAAGGACACGCAAAATGCTAAATGCTTACCAATGATGTTTACTAAGGCCGATGATGTGCGTCTATTTGCCTGGCGAACTCTGGTACGAGCAACAATCTGCTCAACGCTTGACGTCTGTCATTATGATTGGCGAGCAAGAATGTTCTAGTCGGAGGCCAAAATTTCTGGCCTGCTGTAAGACATGTAAACCGGTGACTGGCTTACAACTCGTTGGAATCTAATAAGCTGTTTGGCCAGCCATGGATGACACGTCGAAAGGGGCGGTAGCCGACAGCGCCACGGCTCCTGATTTTTTTTTCTTCGTGAATTTCCCCCCCTCTTCTCCACGTATATCAGAAATATAATTTTTTTTTCCTTTGGCCCTGGCTACATTTAACTGGCGAATTTTTCAGATTGGGGCGGAAGCAAGGGAGAGTCATTTGACGGGATTTCCAATCAGACAGCCAAGCATTTCTCAGCTCTAGAAATGGACGTATGGCTTGCTGGCGTTGAAACTCTCGCCATCCCGCAATCCCACCGCCACATAAAAGATTGCAACCAACATTTTCCGCATTGTCAAATCCTCAATGACTCGCTGCCCGTGTCTGATATTTGCGGTGAATTGGCGATGTCTGTGATGATCCGCCTCCTTTATTTGCTTTTTAACGGTATTTGGGTGTACAGTAGGAATCCCGGTGGCTTGGGTGGCCGAGAAGAATAAAAAAAAAAAAAGATCGCCCGTTGTCCCACCTCTCAGCAGCAAGCCACATATTAACACTTATCTCCCGGCCAAGCGGTAAAGACCCGGTCAGAAGCACGGGCACCTGAAACCTTGAGGCATATGGCTGGGCGGTATGCAAGCCACTCCACTGAACTTCACACTCAGGGATGGGGTGCTTCATTTTGAGGGCGTGTCTCGCCCGGGCAATTCGTAGAGGACGGGCATGGCACGGTCTCTCGCTGACGCCCAAAGTGTTGACTGGTGGGTTGGTGTGGCTATCTTACTGGCCAGCAGTCTAGTTATTACATAGATTCGCTAGAATGGTAAGTAAGTCAACGAAAATGGTAAGCAACGATGGTAGGAATGCTACGAAGAACAGCGCTTTTGTGAAACCCGCCTCGCCGTCCTTGGCTAACTCCATGGTGTGTAACGGGATCTAGCAGGTTAGTGACAAGCGACAGCTCATCATCTGAACCAGAGGCCTGCGCCAATCGCTGCCAGATCGCTCTGGTTCCTACCTTAGGCCGATCTCGTGAGAAGTAGTGCATCCAAGGCTGGACCCAAGCTGGACCCAAGCTGGACCTAAGCTGGATCCCCCCCCAAGGTTTGCCGCCCCAAAGAGAGCAACGGACACCGCTAGTGTGCCGTGCACACCTTTCTGGTACTACAAGTACTCTTCCGGCACTGCCAACTGACCTTTTGGGCACCGGTTTGGGCTGTTGCGGCAGCCCGTCCGGCGGGGCACTAGACAGGAACCATGGAATGCGTCGACGCGATCCTAACCACCAACCAATGCTTATGTTTCGCCTGCCTTTTTCTTGACTTTCTCCTCATAATAAGCCGGCCCACATGCCTGACGCATATGTGAACGAAAACAGAACAGCCCGCATATTGGGAACAAGAGAGGGCGCTGGGCGGGTTGAAGGATACCACCCAGTCGAACGAATCAACCCCCCTCGCCCCGTACATGGTTTATAGTTTATATGTCATGGTGATGCTGGGCCGGCTCGGACGTGCCGAAGCCCGCAAGGACAGGGGGAAGGACGATATCAGTTAGCCGGAGAGTGAGAGAGAGAGCGAGAGAGAGAGAGAAAGTAAATAAGATAACAAACAGAATACGCGGGAGAGAGAAAAAAAAAAAAAAAAAGAAAACAACTCGTTTAAGGAATCATGATGCCGTACTACAAGCTTGTGGCTGGATCGTGGGTTGCGATTCGGCACGAGGGCGTGAAGACCGTCTGATGCGAGGTACGTACTGCCGAACGCTTCGAACCCAAGCGAGCAGCGTCTCATTTCCCCTAGTGTCTTGGGTTTTCCGGGACCCAGGAGACACGGTACACATACACACCATGTACCCATGTACCTATGATGTAGGTATGTACACCAGCATCACTTGCCATTTTTCATTCATTCATTCATTTTTTCCCTTGCCGTATTTTCTACGTACCTTTTATTGCCCTGGCAAAAACCTTCTGACAACCCCCCACCCCCGACGCATAATGTTCATGTGAGGGCGTCGGGGAAATTGCCCAATATCGCATCTTGCTATTCGCGATTTGACTCCTCTCCAACTCGTCGGGGCGATGGGGGTCGCATTGATTTGGCAGCACCATCGTTGACGTCAATGGGCGGAGCCGTAGCTGAGGTGCCTTTCTTTTTTTATCGTTTGCATGTTTTATATCTGTCTTTTGTATTTCCCGGCTGCTTTTCGGGGACCGGTTTTATTAAGTAAGTAACATAGTACACTATCTAGGTAGACAAGAGTGATGCAACAAACACAATACAATCATTTCGTACACACAACCTAGATTGGTAACAGATGGGTCCCGTTATGGTGTGAAGGAAAGAGGAAAAAAAAAAAGGATCGAGCTGTTGTGTGCATGATCGCCACTGCAGCAAGCTTGGCGGCAGGGGCCCTTTTATAGATCCAGACAAGTGGGTTATGCTCCCAGGGATCTCGGGGGTATGGGTAGGATTACACTTCGCCTTAGTGTCAGCATTGTTACCATCATCTTGACTGTGCTGTAATCTCATGTCGACCTCACGGCGGTTAGACGACTACGCATGCAGGACTTTTGTCTCCCAGACTGGATCTTCTGCCGAGATCTAGGTAGTTGCTCTTAGTCCGAGCAGGTAGCAGTATCGCATCCGTCAAGCTACCCTCCCTAATCGCGACGGGTGGCGGAGAAGGTACTGCGATGCGGTGAGGGAAGATATACACCGAAGAGGATGTACTTGCCGGTTCGAGTCTTGTGCCGTTGCATGTTGAGCGCACGAATTGGCGGAACATAGCCAGCTGAAGAGACTTGATAGTCATGCGTGATCTGTTGATCTGCCTTGGGGGGAGTTCCCGGATTTTTTCAGACGACGAATGCTGCGTCGTGATTCGATAGCGAGAGCCCATTTGGTGGCATCCCCTTGTCTCCTCTGTCAAATGGTTTGGGGTAGTGTAGTTGTGTCGATGGAACGGTCCTGGTTCCCTTGCACCTCAAACCACCAATCTGGTATTGACATGGCACTCACTACCTTTCTCAAAGACGGGGAATAGGAACATACAATTACGGGCGCAGCCAGCTTCCTGGCCAGACATTATTCGGACTTGAGTCACCACCATCGAAGCGCTCGCTGGACATAATTTTATGTCATGGTTCGTTTCCCAACAGGTTAGGGTTTAA